GTTGAATAAAGAGTTGCATTGTTAAAAGTTGTGAAAGGGGAGGCAGTCCGTTTGTTACGTAATAGAAAGGTGAGGTAAATGACTTCAAGGAAACATTATTCTTTTATTACCAGTGACGTTTTGGGACAGATGTTATTGTGGAGCTGCCGTAAGCCTTTAATTAACGCCTTCTATTTTCAACTCGTGTCCAAACAAACAAAACAAACTAAGAAAACAAAAATTACACAAAATACTGTCAAATAATACAACACTTTTAATCTGTGGCCTGAGGTGAATGTGTGTGTGTGTGTGTGTGTGTGTGTGTGTGTGTGTGTGTGTGTGTGTGTGTGTGTGTGTGTGTGTGTGTGTGTGTGTGTGTGTGTGTGTGTGTGTGTGTGTGTGTGTGTGTGTGTGTGTGTGTGTGTGTGTGTGTGTGCTCTCACACACACTGTGTGTGTGTGTGTGTGTGTGTGTGTGGCTTATACACCTGTGTGTGTGGCTCCCATACACCTGTGTGTGTGTGGCTCATACACCTGTGTGTGTGGCTCCCATACACCTGTGTGTGTGTGTGGCTCTCACACACGTGTGTGTGGCTTTCACACCTGTGTGTGTGGCTTCCTTTCACCTGTGTGTGGCTTATACACCTGTGTGTGTGGCTCTCGTACACCTTTGTGTGTGGCTCCTGAACACCTGTGTGGCTCTCATACACCTGTGTGTGTGGCTCTTGTACACCTGTGTGTGTGGCTCTTGTACACCTGTGTGTGTGGCTCTCATACCCCTGTGTGTATGGCTCTCGTACAGCTGTGTGTGTGGCTCTCGTACACCTGTGTGTGTGGCTCTCGTACACCTGTGTGTGTGGCTCTCGTACACCTGTGTGTGTGGCTCTCGTACACCTGTGTGTGTGCTCTCGTACACCTGTGTGTGTGGCTCTCGTACACCTGTGTGTGTGGCTCTCTGTACACCTGTGTGTGTGGCTCTCGTACACCTGTGTGTGTGGCTCTCGTACACCTGTGTGTGTGGCTCTCGTACACCTGTGTGTGTGGCTCTCGTACACTGTGTGTGTGGCTCTCGTACACCTGTGTGTGTGCTCTCGTACACCTGTGTGTGTGGCTCTCGTACACCTGTGTGTGTGGCTCTCGTACACCTGTGTGTGTGGCTCTCGTACACCTGTGTGTGGCTTCGTACATGTGTTTATGTTGTTTTTCTCTCGTGTCTGGCTCAAATACACGTGTGTGTGTGAAGCTCTCAGACATGTGTGTGTGGCTCTCATACCTGTGTGTCTGGCTCTCACAGTAAGTTTGTATATATATATATATATATATATATATATATATATATATATATATATATATATATATATATATATATATATATATATATATATATATATAGTTTTCACAGACATTTGTCAGAAAGACTCTTTACAGATCATTATTGAGTCAGTTCACTCAGTGGTGGTAAACTACTGTTATAGTCACAGCTGCCCTGGGGCAGACCGACGGAAGCGCTTCTGCCAATCAGTGCCATCGGCCCCTCCACCACCACCATCACTCACACAACACTTTCATACTAGGCAATGTGGGTGAAGTGTCTTGCCTAAGGACACAACAACAGTTTTTGCGACTGGCTCCCCCCTGTGGCTCCTGATTTTCCAAAGTCCTGACCAGACCCGGCCCTGCTGAGATCAGGCTTTGACAAGTGTGTGGCTCTCAAACACCTGTGTGGCTCTCATACACCTGTGTGGCTCTTGTACATCTGTGTGGCTCTCGTACACCTGTGTGGCTCTCGTACACCTGTGTGGCTCTCTTACACATGTGTGGCTCTCGTACACCTGTGTGGCTCTCTTACACATGTGTGGCTCTCGTACACCTGTGTGGCTCTTGTACATCTGTGTGGCTTGTACACCTGTGTGGCTCATACACCTGTGTGTGGCTCTCGTACACCTGTGTGGCTCTTGTACACCTGTGTGGCTCATACACCTGTGTGTGGCTCTCGTACACCTGTGTATGGCTCTCGTACAGCTGTGTGTGTGGCTCTTGTACACATGTGTGGCTCTTGTACACCTGTGTGGCTCTCTTACACCTGTGTGGCTCTTGTACAGTTGCGTGGCTCTTGTTGTACACCTGTGTGGCCCATACACCTGTGTGTGGCTCTCATACACCTGTGTGGCTCTCGTACACCTGTGTGGCTCTTGTACACCTGTGTGGCTCATACACCTGTGTGTGGCTCTCATACACCTGTGTATGGCTCTCGTACAGCTGTGTGTGTGGCTCTTGTACACCTGTGTGGCTCTTGTACACCTGTGTGGCTCTTTTACACCTGTGTGGCTCTTGTACACTGTGTGGTTCTTGTACACCTGTGTGGCTCTTGTACACTGTGTGGCTCTTGTACACCTGTGTGGGTCTCTTACACCTGTGTGGCTCTTGTACAGTTGCGTGGCTCTTGTTGTACACCTGTGTGGCCCATACACCTGTGTGTGGCTCTCATACACCTGTGTGGCTCTTGTACACCTGTGTGGCTCTTGTACACCTGTGTGGCTCTTGTACACCTGTGTGGCTCTTACACTGTGTGGCTCTTGTACACTGTGTGGCTCTCATACACCTGTGTGGCTCTTGTACACCTGTGTGGCTCTTGTACACTGTGTGGCTCTCATACACCTGTGTGTGGCTCTCATACACCTGTGTGGCTCTTGTACACCTGTGTGGCTCTTGTACACTGTGTGGCTCTCATACACCTGTGTGGCTCTTGTACACCTGTGTGGCTCTTGTACACTGTGTGGCTCTCGTACACCTGTGTGTGGCTCTCGTACACCTGTGTGGCTCTTGTACACTGTGTGGCTCTTGTACACCTGTGTGGCTCTCGTACACCTGTGTGGCTCTCGTACACCTGTGTGGCTCTCGTACACATGTGTGGCTCTTGTACACTGTGTGGCTCTCGTACACCTGTGTGGCTCTCGTACACCTGTGTGGCTCTCGTACACCTGTGTGGCTCTCGTACACCTGTGTGGCTCTCGTACACTGTGTGGCTCTCGTACACATGTGTGGCTCTCGTACACCTGTGTGGCTCTCGTACACCTGTGTGGCTCTCGTACACCTGTGTGGCTCTCGTACACCTGTGTGGCTCTTGTACACATGTGTGGCTCTTGTACACCTGTGTGGCTCTTGTACACATGTGTGGCTCTTGTACACATGTGTGGCTCTTGTACACCTGTGTGGCTCTCGTACACATGTGTGGCTCTTGTACACATGTGTGGCTCTCGTACACCTGTGTGGCTCTTGTACACATGTGTGGCTCTTGTACACCTGTGTGGCTCTTGTACACATGTGTGGCTCTTGTACACATGTGTGCTCTTGTACACCTGTGCTCTTGTACACCTGTGTGGCTCTTGTACACATGTGTGGCTCTTGTACACATGTGTGGCTCTTGTACACCTGTGTGGCTCTGTACACATGTGTGGCTCTTGTACACCTGTGTGGCTCTTGTACACATGTGTGGCTCTTGTACACGTGTGTGAGGCTCTAAGAAACAGAAGTTGAATCATTCGAAACACAAAATGTGACAGCCTCTTCCTCCTCACTTGATGAAGTTTGTGAATGTGCTAAAAAGGGTTTTATGTTTGCATGTATTTGTCTTTTGTTAGTTTTTGTTTTTCTAAGTTTTATTGTTGGAGGCCACAGTGACAGATCTGCACAAACAACTTGACCTTAAGATGAAAACAGATCTTCATTTCTGTTTTGAAATACTAAGCACAGAACTGCAGCTTGTGTGATACAGGTGACTGTAAAACACTAAAACATCATTTCAGATTCAACCGAACAAAAAAGAAAAGAGCGAGACGTCTTTGTTATGCTAAATATAGGTGGGGTGCGTGCCATTGAAGTGCATGTACTATTCTTTTATTACCTGGGTTGAATCACATCTATAGATCCATTATTATTATTAAGCCAATAATGAATGAATTCCATTGAGTGGTGTGTTCCACAACAAACACATAAAACAAAAGTTATTACCGATACAAAAGATGACCTATTAGTTGATGATGATGTGGCATTTTGTTGTTACAGATTTTAGCAGAAAAAGATTCATTATGCAAAGGGTGAAATCATCCATGTTGTGAAATGGTTGAAATTTTGAGATTTGAGATTTATATATTTATTTTGAGCAAGTAAGAAATTGACATTCTTTTACCGTGGAACATATAACATGAATGAAATCATAACAGAAATAACAACTAAAAATATATAATAAAAATAATAAATAATACATAATAGAAAAAAAAATTGGCCCTAACAGACAAGACAAGAGACCAGACTAAAGGTGTTGAGGCATAGCAGTGACTGAGCACTGACTTGGCACTGGGGCTTGTGCAGGGGCCAATAAAGTGCTTTGATTTGAAATGTTCATGTTTAGGTTAAAGAAGTGGCTGCATGAGTCACAAAGCTGCCAAGTTAAAACTAAGACCTAGTTTCATATAATGTATGTGAAATGACCATCGCACATGATCCATGAGCTCCAACTGGATCAAAATGTGATTACATTTTCATTTGCAATCATAAGTGCATGAAACAATGAGCTCAAACTAAAATGAAGTTTTGTTAAGCGTACTGTAATATTTTATATGTATGCAGGAGCACGCTGCAGTGATTAGAGATCAGAACCAAGGGCGGTGCATACAGCTATTGTACACCCTGCTGAGATGAATCATACTGCCTTTACAATGAAGTAAGTAAAAGGCTCAGATTAATCCTTTAAATTATATGTTGATTTTCTGCAAACAATGCAGCTAGTCCACTTCCCAAACACAAACTCCTGTCTGCCCAAAATGTAACTTAACAAGTTTGACATCATTGAAGCTCAGAACATCACCATCCTCCCATAGCTGGATCCTCCTCACAAGGGAGGAGACACCTGGCGAACAATCATGATGATTACATTAATTAATCATTACGTGGACTGATATATGACGTGTGTCATTCAAAAACAATGCATATATATAAATACAAAACTCAAGTGCTCCTGTCATATTTAAGACACAAGGCACTGGACTAGCAGTGAGAGCACAGGTGGAGGAATCCTTCATCATCTCAGTAAGTACACAATGCTGTTTGCTGGATTATATATATTTTCAAAATGCGTTATGTGGTTTTGTGATTGTAGTTTATTTTGTCCTTTTGCAGCATTACAAAAACATAGACGACACAACCCCATTTGGATCATGACTGAATCTGTTTAGGCTGAAGTAAAAAGTACTTGTGCTTACAGTTTCACTTAGGACTTACCGTAAATGTAAGAGAAAAGAAGTTGAATGCATACTTTGTTCCATAGCTCTATAGCTTTCAAAGCAATAGTGCTCTACAGTATTGGACTTCAGGTTCAGGTTGTTCCATACACTCACCCCTTAAACTGAAATACAGTCTCTTTTTGTCTTAGTTCTTTTGTCTTAGGTCTTCATTTTTTAAAGATGCTTGTTGGAATCTGGAATCTTCATAAGGTCACATTGACTCTCTGTCTCTCTGCTCAAATAACTCCTGCAGACAAGGAGGAAGCAGATGATTCTAGGCCTTGTGCATCACTACAGCTGTACAACAAAAATCAAAACACTTAAGCAGATTTTCCTTAATAAAAGAGGATTTTGGATTTATTTATTATTTATTGGAATGCTCCTTGAGATGTGCCATCTCATTTTCAAGGGGGTCCAAAAAAAACACAAACAATAAGTAATACACAACACAGTACAAGATCTCTCACCTCTTGCAAAGAGAGCTGAAGAGAACACTCAGTGGATTGAGGTGCGTTATGTAAAATGCATATTTTGATAAATTGTATCAGCATAGTCAATGATGGGTAAAACTAATAGAGTAATAATTATTTATATGGCTTCTTGAGTGAAACAGTTCGGTGACCGGTGAAGAGGACTTTGATAGACAAGATATTTGATAGATTCATGTTGAATCATCCTGGACCCATCACTGAACTGAATGTGAAGGTCAGGGGAATAGATTAGATTATGATGAGTTTCAAACAGTAAACACGATTTTTTTCATATTTTTGGTTTGTGATTTATTGTTGCTAATTTCTTGATTGTCATTCAAATTAAATAACCAGAAAACAACAAATTAGTAATTTCAGTTATATAAAGTAATTCATCAGTGCATTTGTATAGCTTCTTTCAAGACATCCAAAGCATTTTACAGTTCATTGTTCATTCACTCCACACTCAGAGAAGCAATGCTGCCAATTTGTGCCATCAACCCTTTCAACCACCAACACTCATGCACACACAACTTTTTACTAAGTAATGGAGGTCAAGTGTCTTGCCTAAGAACACAGTTACAGTTTTTGTGACTGGCGCCCCCCTGTGGCACCTGGTGTTCCCAGTGTCTCCCATCCAAATCCTGACCAGGCCCAGCCCTGCTGAGCTTCTGAGATCTGATGAGATCAGGCCTTGACAAGCCGGTATGGCCATGAAATAAAAGGAATTTAACACATTTGCTGTTCAAATGAGGTTCTATGGGAAATATGAAAGAGATGACTACAATTTGTATTTTGTGCAGGAAGAATGTTTTTATATTTAAAAAAAAAAGAAGAAGAAACAAAAGTTAGGAAAAAACTGTTGCCAATATCGCAGCAACTAATGTTTTTAGTGTTTGACTTAAAAAAAAAAAAAAAATTGTTTAGTTGCTGAGTCAAATAAAATGTTGGTTGAAACAAAGGTTGAAATATGGTAAATGAAGGCTTGTAGATACTGAATATTCACAAATAAAATGCACTGATGATGGTTTTCTTTTATTTTTAATCTCTGACATTTTGATTTAATAGATTGATTTTATCCTTGTTGTAACGCGTCTTTTGGCACATGTTTTACATTTTGTCTGCATAATTGAGATGGTAATGATGTTGAAATATGAAAGTACAGTTACAGTGATTTTAGTCACAATTATTTATTCCAGTTAATCATTGCAGCCTTATTTGCCACTACAAGATCAACAATGTCACATGTCTTCTTTGTGACATTCAATTTATCAAGTCAAGCATTTTTGTTCATTTATTTTGACATACATTGTAATTTATTATAGTACATTTGATTTTAATCCAGGTCAAGAAGTGACTGTAAACCCAGGAGCTTATTCTAAAACGTGAAAAAAGAAAAAGACAGGAGTATCAGAAAACATTGTAATGCTATTGGATTAAAATGTTATTTAAATATTCAGCCTCTGAATTAATTAATTTTAACAATCCCATCATATGTTTTTTTGTTTGTTTTTTTCAGTTTATTTTCAAGTTTGTAAGTGGACAAGACTTCAAAAGACAGACAAACTCATAATTCACCATGATTATCAGGTTGCTTCTCCTGGTGTTACTACCAGTAGGTAAGTGGTCAGAATTATAATTATTCTCTGTTCTATGGGACACTGTTGATTTGACACTGACTCTAAAACTTTTATTATGCAACAGTATTGAACGTCCAACCTGTGGATGGAGCGCTGAAGGACAGATGTCCTGGACTCAACATCACAACTGCAGCTCCTCCAACTACCACAACTACAACTACAGCTCCTCCAACTACCACAACTACAACTGCAGCTGCCTCAACTACAACAACTACAACTACAGCTGCCCCAACTACCTACAACTACAACTACAACTACAGCTGCCCCAGCTACAACTACAGTTGCCCCAACTACAACTACAGTTGCCCCAACTACAACTACAGCTGCCCCAACTACAACAACTACAACTACAGCTCCTCCAACTACCACAACCACAACCACGCCTCTGCCAACCAGAAGTGCAGCAGTAACAGCAGCTACAGCTACTGGTGTGGCATCAACAGCAGCAACAGCAGCAGCAACAGCTGCAGCGGCAGCAGCAGCAGCAGCTGCATCCACAACCAACAGAACCTTGGCTCAGCAAGCCTATAATGCATCTGTGGAAGCTCTCAAAGCTGCTCAAGAGGCAGCAAGACAGGCTCAGGCATTACTAAACGGAACAGGAACACTAACAGATACAATACAAGCAGCTCAGCTGGCAGCAGAGAAAGCACTTGAGGCATCCCAGGCAGCAGTGCAGGCATCACAGACAACCCCTGCATCACTGACCCAATATTCAGAAAATATTGTGAACGCATCTAAAAATGCATCAGAGGCAGCCCTTAAGGCAAATGAAGCAGCTACTATTTTGTCTTCTTTAACTCCTGAAAACCTACAAGCAGCAACTACAGCCATGAATGAGTCAGCAATAGCATCACAACAAGCAGCCAAGGCTATGTTAGCAGCTCTAGAACAAAATATTACTGCGCCACTTGACCCAATATTAAAAACATTTATAGTTGATGCAGCAAAGAATGCCGAAAATACTGCCGGTGCAACGCAAACTGCTGTTGAAAAGGCAACAGAGTCTTTAACGGCAAACACTACAGAAGATGCACAAAAATTATCAAATGAGGCTATTACATTGTTACAAAACATAATTAATTCAGCAAACAATGCAACTGACAATGCATATAAAGCTATAACATATGTTTCTACCACACCATCACCTACAAAATCCCCTACAGAGATAAGGAATGCCATAACAGCGGCAGCAGCAGCAGCAATAACAGCATCAAATGCTGCAGCAGCAGCAGGAGCCACAGCAGCCACAGTTGCATCAGCCTCCACTGGACCACTTGCTGACAAAGCACAGGTCGCTGCAGAAGAAGCAATCAAGGCTGCTGAAGAGGCAGCGAGAATGGCAGAAGCAGTACTCAATGGACCGCTTCACCAGAGGAAGCCATACAAGCAGCTAACATTGCAGCACAAAAAGCTCAAGAGGCATCTTTGGCAGCAAAACAAGCAGCAGAGGCTCTCCCAGATTCAATGGCACCTTTTAAGGAGGGAATTTTTCAAGCGTCTGCCAATGTAACAGAAGCAGCTCAAAAAGCAACCCAGCAGCAAAACATGCATCTACAATAACTCCTGAAAGTCTGAATGCAGCAGCTACAGCCAT